GAGTTGATTTCAACATAACACAGTAATTATAAGTAAACAGTTTAGCTACATTAGTTGAGTTGATTTCAACATAACACAGTAATTATAAGTAAACAGTTTAGCTACATTAGTTGAGTTGATTTCAACATAACATAGTAATTATCAGTATACAGTTTATCTACATTAGTTGAGTTGATTTCAACATAACAAGTTATGTTGAAATTTACTAATAATTACTATACAGTTTAGCTACATTAGTTGAGCTGATTTCAACACAACTTTCATATTTTCAATCGGATACCAGGAAGCATGGAAACAGTAGTAACTGGCAAAGTATGTGATGAACACAAACAACGAAAGTAAGGAACATGCCATGTTTGTCGTCTTTGTGATCCATTACTCTCAAGCACTGTACCTACGATGCATATTAACAACAGTAGAAAGCGTAAAAGTTTGTTTGTTTTAATTTCGCGCAATGCTACACGAGGGCTATCTGCGCTAGCCGTCTCTAATTTAGCAGCGTAAGACTACAGGGAAGGCAGCTAGTCATCACTACCCACCGCCAACTATTGGACTACTCTTTTACCAACGAATAGAGGGATTGACCGTCACATTATAACGCTCCCAAGGCTGAAAGGGCGAGCATGTTTGGTGACGTAAAACTAGTCAGTTGTCAAATCAGTAATAAAAATAAAAAAAAGCGCGGCCATATCGAGGCCAAATTTTTCGCGCCGCCGGGTCTTAAAATAGAATAAAAAATTTTAGTTAATAATTGACTTTATAAAAATAAAATACCGCGAGACATTCGTTATAAAGTAAATTATTAATATTAAGTAAAATATTGTTATTGTACATGGACACTGGAGAGAGTGACATATTTAAATATTTATTCTGTGTCATCAAACGTTATTTTCTTTTTTCTTCAAACATTAGCATTATAACACCGCGTTAACACTTGCGCTACACTTTAAGGAAATATGAAACTTTATTGAGGCCATATTGGAGCTCGGCTGTCGGCGGTTTGTACTGTTATAAATTCTAGTCTTCATCTGTTAAAGATTTTTTTTTTTATCCAATACGAGAGACGATGTTTCAAGTTATATATGGGTTACGTATTTCAGACTTGAGTCCACTTTTTGCGTATAGTTTTATATCTATACTGATTGGATGATGATTTAAACGTCAAGTAAACCTTGTTTGTTTGTTTGTAGTTAAGCACTAAAACTACACAAAGGGGCTATCTGTGCTCTGCGCACCATGGGTATCGAAACCCGGTTTCTAGCAATATAAGTCCGCAGACATACCGCTGTGCCACTTGAGGGCCAGCTAAAGCTATTAACCTTTAGCATTCAGTCTAAAACTTAACTTTATATTTATATGTTCGAAGTTTAGAGTTTTGAAGCTGTTGAATCAAGTGTCTACGAAGGATACGGAACC